AGCTCTGATGCACCTGGGGAAATCTCAATATCACGTGTCCAAAATGGAGGCTGATAAACGTGCAGAATCGTCGGTTGCCTGCAGGAACGCTCCTGCTGGAAGAGACTGAGCTAGTGGACAATGTTGGTGCACTGGCCAAAGCTGCAGCTGCTTAGGACATGAACATGGACATCGGCACAAAGAATTCTGTCCACTATCAGCTCAAATGTGGCAGCTAGACAATGTTGTGCCACCATGTGCCACGGCGGAGAAAAAACTGCGGCGCATCAGTGACAAAGGGTAGAAAAGCAAATCAAAGCAAACCGGCACAAGCTCCCTTCAAAAGGGTGCCACTGAGTCCGAAGTCGCCATTTATCGGCACTCGATTGACAATACAGTACACGTAGTTCCTGTGAATTACATGCAGTGTGCATGTCTCACTCCTAACTGAACACACAGGTCAACTGCAAATCTGCAACTTTCTCGCACCTAGCCACCGGCTGCTTTGCAGTCTGTACCTACCATGGCGTCAAGCATTCCCAAGTACAAAGTGTTCGATGCGCCTGCATGACTTCAAAGTGCCCCTCCTCTAAAACGGACTTACTATAATCACAAGTATATATATATATATGCATATACAATATACAATTGATTTGGAATCTCACCATGTGCGGCCGAGATTCAACATGTCTCTGCTGAGAGGTTTGGCTCTTGCTGTGTGCTCCAATTTCGCCAAAACAGTCCTCCAGCTGCTTGCCGCCAATCACATTTCGGAACAAATTGGGGCAACATACTTCAATGCTAGAGAATGCCTACACACACGGGCGCACACACACAAAATCACTAGAGCTGCTAGCTGCTATTGAGCCTCTGCTCTAGTCATTCCTGCCACGAGTCGAGCATTTGCCTCAAACACTCCACAGTTACAACTGCTGCAAACAAAAACACACAACGCATACAATAATGCAAAACAAATCAACGGACGAAGGGCCTGAGCGCCATCTCTCATTGTAGCCTTGCATATGTTGATTGAGTAGTGTATTGGGCCCCTTTCTCAGATTGCTATGTATAAGGATTATAAGGTGTCTTGGGGCATGTACTTTGCCTACATCTGGATGCGAGAAGTGCGTGTTCTTTGAATGAGAAGTCAGTTCAAGAAGTGCGATAAGGGCACACCGGGCACACATGCTGGTGATGATGTGCAAATAAAGACCGTGCTATGGGTTCCAAGGCATGACCGACAAGAAAGATTGACCCGCACAACGTGAGTTTTGAGGAAAGAAGTGCCTACAGCATTGGGGATATGCACAGAACTAGGAAGTACTGGGAAATTGCGTTAAGCCTCTTTCATGCACGTGAGAAACCGCTCACTTTTTGCCAAAACCGGGCGCGGGCGCCAACGCAAAAACGCCATTCCAGCAGACACCACAGCGGCACACTGGCTCACAAGCCACACAAACGACATACCATGCCACACCACAAACATCATTGTGGGGGCAATGAAAGCACTTGTCTACACATATACAGTATATACAGTGTATAGGTGAAAATAGGCATAAATACCTGAGAAGGGATGGGGGAAAAAGCCAGCCTCCGTGACAATAAATCATTCCTGTTATGGGGTGAAGTCGACATTGCACTGACATCTACTGCTGTTGGCCACGGGGAAATAGAAGGCTAAGAGGCGCAAAGTCTCGCATTGAGGATCAATATGATAGGTTTTTTATATACAAGGCCTTGATCAAGGCCCATTCACTGTTGGCGGATAGGATAGAAGTGGAGCCCTTGCGTTAGGACAAGAGTTGAATTGAGCAGGACGTTCACAGTTCGGGAGGGTGCCCTTTTTCTCTTGGCTCAAACCCGTTTTCATGCTGAAAAAGAAGCTGATCAGTATCTCATATAATATGATAATGCAGTTGTAAAGATGAAGCCTGGGAAAGCAGTAGGCTGAGAGACGCAGCGCTTCGCATTGAAGCTCGATATGGTAGAGCCTATATACACAACCCTTGGATCAACTCCCATCCGCTGTTGCTGGTCATAGGATAGACTTTGGTCCGTACAAAAATCCGACTCGCTTGGACATCTATAGCTCTGAGGGGTGCCCTTTTTCATCCGGTTTTTCTACTTGCTCTCCTGTCCTCTACCTGAATAAATAAATCTGGTGAGCCCACCTCAATATGGGGCGCCCTCCTTTGTTGTAGTATTTATTTTAAGGAGCTAAAAGGGGACCCCATATCAAGACGTAGCTGTAAAGATGAAGCCCCCAAATGTCCTACTGAGTTGTCCGAGAAAGAAATTCTGGCTTGCACAAAGTCTCGCAGCTTCTGTCCTCACTGGATGGACGCACCTGGTTAGCCTTGTCAGCTCCCTCAGTGTATGGTGACCTCGTTTCTTACATTTCCTGTCGCGGAGTCTCCCCTTTCCTGTCCTCTACCCAAACCACCCACCCCTAGTCAATAGACAGTCTAAATAGTCTACTGAGCACTTTGTGATGCTAATGGTGCACCAATCGGCGTCATGTGCATCACTCGTATCACCAAGACACCCTAAAAATACATGTTTACTACCTTTTGGACGCTCTATATTTTTCGCTCTCCCCCACTGGCCCACCAGGCTCTGGGTTCACCCTACCCGGGCCTGTGTGTGCCAAGCCCTAGCAATACGACTGCCAGTCAATTCCTACAGCACTCAAGGGCCGCAGGGTGGCTTAGCAAAGGACTCTGAAACTGCGACCGTTGCAGCGATCTCAAAGACCTCTCTCCACACTGTTCATGGGAGCATTTTGCAAGCAGCATTGTGAATGTCTTCATTTCCAAGCTGGGGGCTTGCAAACTAATTAAAAATACAACCGCTTTCCAACATGCGTTCATTTGGTGAGCGTCCGTTTCCGCATGACTTTTTACAAGCACGCGACTTAACACAAGCACCCAGTAGTGCATTGTGGGGAGTATTGATTGGAAAGGTTTTGAAGCAAGATTGCGCTATCTGTCAAGCAACTGTGACAATATAGTCATTTTATCTATATGTGGATTGAAACACAATGAAACGCATCCTTCGTGCTGGTGTGCAAATCATGTCCGTAATGTTCTGGGGAAGTTTGATGCCTTGCAGGTACTGTATTCTCTTCTCTGCAGTGCTCTTTCTGAAAACTTAGTATTGGGCCCATCGCAATGCCTCTTCAGCTGCCAAGACTGATGGCCGCAAATTTGGGGATGGAGGATCAAGACCTGGGATCGGCATCGAACACACACCTGACGGTACCATGCAACTAAGCTCCGCGCAAGGTAGATCCTCTCCACCAGCTTTCGTCGCCTGAATTTGTAGTCTAGCGGGGGTGCGTCAGTCATTCGACAAAGCCAACAAATATCCAAATTGTACCAATGCGCCTCACAAAATAGTCTCCTTGCAGGACTCGCATATTCTTGATTGCCACTTCGCAGCAAATCTGGCAAATGACAGATATATGTCATTTTGCTCTACATAAGTTTCAGTTGGTATGGGACACAAAATGTGGCCCAGTGATCCACAAATTTGGTAATGTGTTATAATTCGTCCGTTACCATTGCGATCAAAGGGAGCACATCTTTTCTGGCGTCACTTCCTGTGGATGTCTGGAAAACTCCTCTTTGGCAAAAGTTTCGCATTTCTGCCTTCCAAAGTTGCGCCAGGGGAAGGACCAGCACCTTCCCAGGCTAAGTGCTTGTCTCAGTTTGGGCCAAATTCAAACGCTGGCCAAGGGATTGCCCGAACCAGCTTCGTTTGGACTTGGATCACCAAAGCCCTCGTATCATTGTGAGACAACAGTTTACGAGTTTGGAGCTCTTTTCTAAGCCAATGTTGAAAAAAGCGTCCCTCGCACTTGTAACTCTGGCATCGGCAGCATCAATGCTTCAAGCTTGTCAACACTCTGGAATCTTGGAAGCTTCTGTGAGTGTCTTGGAGTAGAACTTGTTTACATGGCCTATGGTTGTGAAGCTCTACTGCAAACTATTGGCTTCGTATACAAATTTGTGTAAATATAACTTAGCACCGGACCCTTGACTACATCTCAATCAGTAAGGTGCTGGCTGCTGTGTGGTGGCGTTTCCACTGTGCTTACCACATCCTCCGTGTCCTGATGCAAGGGACAACCATGGCATAATAATGGTTGATGCATGCCTTGAAGACGATGCTTGACAACTTGAATCAATTGTTCCCCGTCGACAATCCTCAGCCTGTGCATTCCCTGGGCTGGCAGGTTCCATCAGAGCCGGAGTGCCATCACAGGTAGAAATCGATGTATCCTGGAGTCCAAGAAAAAGGCCCGGATGCGACCACAACTGTCGAGTACTGCCGGGCAAAAAAAGAAGCGAAACCAGCATTGTTGTTTGAACAAGGGTACTACCCCTCAAGTTCTGCAATTGAAAGGGAAGCGTCAAGGAAACAAACAAACAACAAACAAACAAACAAACACACACACATTCACAATAGCTGATGGCCCTGAATGATGACTCATGATTCATGATGTACTAATAATGATATTGTTTCTGGAGGTGCTTTCATTATGTTCATCGCAGGCAAAATGGCACAGTAACAGGTCCCAACATGAAGGCAAGCCATAAAAATAAGGCTTGGGAACTATTGACAATTTCAGTTTGGAACTGAAGAAGTGTCACCGTTCTCCACGTGATGCTGGGTCAAACTTTCTGCGATTTTCTTATTATATGCCGCTACTTCATCGTAGTAAAGCTTATGAGCCCACCTATCGTTTGCCAACTTTCTTGTAGGGTCCCCAGCGTATTGTTTTGTTGAGTCGTTTGTCAGGGTTTGGAGCATCCTCACGCTATGAATGCAACACCTTCAATTCAGGAAATTGTGGTAACTGCCACTGCAAAAAATGAATGCGTTAAACATGTTCAAACATTGATGATCATTGATGCATAATTATACATGCACTGGGCGTTTGGTTTGTGCACCTCCGATTTACAAACCACAATCCAATTCTTATGTTGACAAAAGCAATACATTACCCCACTCAAAACCTATATGGAATATTCACAGTGGACCCTTGCCAACTGGGCACCCAACCCTGGCTGCCGAGCAAAGTTGCAACCTCGCACAACGATCTCAGACCACAAACAAACGCCAGCATCTTTGACGTATGCACCCAGACTCAGGTCGAAGCTATCATGGCCCATGATTGTCAAGTCTTCTGGATACATGAGTGCACAAGGCAGCTGAGGCATGAGCTTCTTCTTCAAATCTGCGAGGGCGGACAAGACCAGAAGGGCCTCCTTCCGCCCATTGCTATCCTCGCGGCTCGGAGGATTCTTTTGCTCCTTGGCTTGGGGCCACGCAATTTCGATCAAACATAACAAGCTTCAATGGTACCATTGCATCCATATCCTTGAGGTCAAGGACATTTGGGGTGGAAACCATTTAAATCCATTTAAGGTGCAGCCATAAAATATGCACACCATGGCAAAAGCCGCTTCAGGTCCCTTTCTTTACTTGCCAAAGCTCTGGTGATAGCTCCAATGCTGTGGACGCTTCAGAGGGTTGCATTCCAGCAGGGCTCTGCTCTTCCTCATCGATAGCCGTCTCTGCAGCAGCCACAGCTGCAAACACAGTTGCTGCTGCTTCTTCTGTTGCTGCTTGCTCAGCTTCGGCACTTACCTGGGCGATGCCTTCACTTTGGCTTGGTCCAGCAGCAGGGCTTGAAACCGCTTCGGCAAAGTTGCTACTACAACGGTCCTTGCTCAGCATGACTTTTCCACACACGTCTCGTGGTCCAAGTGTCAGCTGCACGTGTGTCGCACATGTCACGGGCTCAGCGGGAAACGCTCCACGCTGGGGAGCACTCCTGGAAGTACAGCCGGTGGCGTCGTGGGACTCTGCTTTCGGAGGTGTTTGATCAGCTTCCTCGATGCATTTCTGCCTCAAATCTTGGAAATTGATCACAAATTCACAAATGCAACAAGAGTGCATCCTGACAAGATCAGTGCTGCTCAAGTTGCCGTAAGGTAGCCAACTGTCTCTCCAAATGTGCGCAGCTCCTTTGATTATGAACTTGGGACACCAAAAGTCACAAAATTGCATTCATACATGCACAGCCAACCACAGCCACGAGCTATTCTCACTTTGTGCAAGAACACCACCGCTGCAAAACAGCTGAAAGTGCGTGGGTGAGGGAATCATGGTCTTGGTGACTTGGCCAAAAGGCACGAGCAGTAGACCTCCCATCATGTCATGCACGTCATGCCTGGTACTCTCATGTCTTCAGCCAAGCCTCTGAAGCAGTGCAACAAACTGGCGCGCATCAAATTCGAGCTGATGTCGCAAGTCCACATTGCTTGCATGAATGAGCTCTGCCTGCGAAGAGTGAAGCTAGGCTAGACTCAGCTAGACGTCCATCAGCACTGCTCCCCAACAAGGCTCAACAAAACTCAACAAGATCTGTCAACCCCTTACTTTTGTGAGGGGGGGTGCGCAAAACTGAACACCTTTATGGTGCAAGAGGGCTGTGGGGAAGATGATTGGCATTGCCTCTTCCGACGGGCCAAACTAGTAGGGTTGCCGAAAATTTGGATCGAGAGGCGAAGGTGGATCGAAACTGCTTGCACATGTTCTTAGGTTCCACCGGCTGGCCTGACTGGGGTTGCGCTTGGGAGCAAATGTGAATAAACTTGGACACACAAATGCAGTTGATGCCAATGGGGAGGGATGAAACAAGCATCCAAAAGGTGCGTGTTGCCAGGCTTCTCCTCTTAGCCATGGCCAATGCTGGACACCTACCTGAAGTTGGAGTTTGCTCGGAGAGCACAGTTTTGAAGGTTGGTGAGGTAGGTTGCAAGCATCTGCGCGATACAGTGAAAGATTGCCTTACCAGGTTAAAGGGCCCAAGTCCTTCATCCTTCCTTTTCTTTTCAGCTTTTGCACCTGCATTTTGGCTTCATCCTTGTGGCGATCTGCCTTTGCCAGCTGACCTCTCGCAGCCCAGACTCGAGAAATACTCCTCAGAGCGCCCACAGAACCACAAAGCATCAATCAGTTGTTCTTTTAGGCTCTTACTTGATTCTGTAGGCACCTACTTAATTAAGTACAGCAAGGGCTAAACAAACTAGCTAACGGACGCAGTGATAGCTCACGCTTCTTCAAGGAAGCCCTCCCCGCCGTCCTAAAGGCGAAGGGGGTGAGCTTCTTTGAAGAAGCGCTGGCACTATTCATTTGGTTCCTAGGTTCGTTTCCAAATCGGTTTTGCGGCATAGATCTGTCTCCCGGATCTCCTGCAAGCAGTCAAACTCTCCGGACACAAATTGTGGATGCATATTGTATCATATTGTCATGTTATTTATACTTCAATTTGGAAAAACTGCATGATGCATGTGATTTCACATCCTGTTTCGCAAATGACGGTCTATGGTGATCGTGCTGCCTGAAGCATCTAGAATCTACAAAGTGACATTTACCGAGAACTCATATTGTGCCTGGCTACACCATGGTCCACGGGCTACATTTCCAATCATTTCTGTCTCCTCCAAATAGCCCTGGAAGGCCTTGGACAAGGTCTGGAGCTCGTCCCACGACTTCCATTCCACAGCAGCCTTCATGAGCTCCAAGGCTCGCTTAGACCTACGGAAAGCATAAACGGACAGGGGTCATTCATCAATTTATGAGCCAAGGATCGATTGCAACATGACAATGAGTCATAAATCATGTGAACATGACAATGGGTCATAAATGTCATAGTTCTTCCTCCCTGTATGACTATGGGTCGAACCATAAAGCATGTGCGCAAGCTTGTTAATGGCATGCCAGTGCTACTCCCAGCATGTTTCTACATCTTGAACCTGGACACGTGAGCAACATACAAACACCCCTGTGGTATCCACCAAACAGGGAACCACAATTGAGCTGAAACAAAAAGCACTGTTTTCAACTTAAACACGTTGGGGATGTTCATGACAACCCTGTCAGCTGCCTCTCTTTCAGCTGCTTTGTTCGGGCTTCCTCCAGCTGGTAGCTCAATGCTGCGAAGGAGGAGGAAGCAGATCCGCACCGCATGTCAGCACCGATACATCCGGGTGGCCAATGGGTGCTGATCCAAACTTCGCGCCAAACTTGGTTGCTATCTGATTGGTTGGATGGGTGCCCTTCTTCTTGTGGTTCTTCCTGTGTAAGTGCGTTCCAAGCAAACAAATTCAGCGTCGCCCGTCGCTGCGAACAAACAATATGCACATGTCAGTGCAGCCTGTGATGCTGCGGCATCTTTGCTTGTTTACATTCCAAGGTTGGTTCACTTCTTTCGATGTAGCCCAAGCAAAATGGTTGTTATTACATACAGGACATTGGGGAAAAGAAAGCCTGTACTAAGCCCTAAGCTTCTGACTTCTGACCGTCCTGGTTTTGCTGTATGTGTCCCTCTTGTTCATCCTGCTGAGGGTGACAAAGGCAGCGTGTCCAAGAAATCGTGTGTCATACATATTCATACACTGTGATACATTCGTAACGATTAGCTTAAAAATGCTTAAAGTAACCAAAGGGTTGAAGGTAATATTGGCAAGAACTACTAGCCACTAGCTGTGTTCCAGCTTCCACCTGACATCAAACACATGTGAAATGCGTACTGCAAATGCCATAGCAATGGCAATTTTGCTCACCTTCACTGCTAAAGCATGGAGAGTTGACATGACAATGGACAGAGAGCATGGATGAATATATTGTATGACACAATATGATGCAGTGATGCAGTAATTTATTTCTATCTTGGAGATGGGCAAAGCAAATGAACTCCTTTTGTCGTCTGCTTCACTTCAGTATGACCTAGTTTCCTTAGTTTCCTTCTTTGGCCTTCACGGGGCGGTACGTAGATATGGATGGTCCTCATGTGTCGGAGGTGGCCACTTGGACTCCTTGTAGCGGAGCTGCTCGGCTGTGGGCTCACCCCAAAATAGCATGCTGCCATTCACCAGCTGTGAGAATTTCTGGAAGATGTATTCCGTGATGTCTAAGTCGCTGCCGGGTCGAAGGTAGCTGGTGTTGTCCGGGCGCAAGTGGCCACTCACATCATGCGCAAGCCCTTCTGTCTGGCACACTTCCACAAAGTTGTCCTTCGGACAAGCATCCCAAGCTTTGCAAGATGTCGTCGCAGACTTCTTGTATGTCACCGCAGTGCCGTCTGGTCCCGCACCGGAGCAATGATTCAGTGCGCTTAAAAGCTCTGCGCTCATCTGGATTGTATGTTGGCAGAATGCTTCGTCGTCCTGCGTCCCGCACATGCTGATGTAGGAGATCGGGTTGGAAATGTGGCAGTCCAGCTGAGGAATGTCCCCCGATATCGGGGCAAAGCCTCGTATGAAATGGTTTGCGTGACATGCTAAGTAGTTGACAAAGACTGCTCCATTGCTAAAGCCGGCGGCAAATACCTTGCTCGGATCAATGCAAGAGTTTTGGGAAGTCCACTTCAATATAGCTTCCACGAACTTCATGTCTCTTTGATTGTCCTTCCAGCCACAAGCAGTCGAGTCTTTTTGCCGCAGTTGAGGCGTGTTGGCACAGCACTCCCCCTGACAATCTTCCGGGCAACAGGCGCCAACTCCATCCAAACCATTGGTTCCACTTTCATTCAAGCCAAAAGGCAGAATTCCTAACCAGCCGTATCGATTGATTTGCTTGGAGAATTCCATATGCAAGTCTAGGTACCACGGCGAGTCTGAGAAGCCATGAAAAGCTAAAACCAATGGAATGCCAGAAGCCTGCACGGGTGCATACTCCTCTGGCACCACCAAAAGAAATTGCCGCTGCACATCTGGCAGTTTGATGACATGCTTTCCAGGCGGATGTCGAGAGCATTCTGGAGCTTGGTACACATCATGAACCTGCAAAGCAGATGCCAAGGCTGCAAAAGGAAGCAGCCACATTGGGTTTCGTGGCCACCGGCATCTTGGGTGGTTAAACATTTTGATCAACGGGGTTCAGTATCTAATCTTGAGCAGCAATGTTTCGGCAGTCACTCGCTTTTTTTTGCAAACACCAAAACAAGTTGGTTGTCATACTGAAAGGAACCGGCAGGAGCACACTCGAAAAGAACCGACAAAGCGAAGAGTGGAGATTGAAATTTGTTGTCGCTGCGAATCGGCAATTTCATGGGTCAGGACAAAGCTCCGCGAAGTAAAAAACGAGAATGGAAAACCATCACGAGGATACAACATGATACAATATGATACAACTATAACAGGTTTGAGTTGGCAGGCCCGGGCACGATGTTTAGGCTGGCTCGTCGAGTCACAGGCGCCCCAATAAATCTTATGCCGGTGGGCAAACTCGGCCACAGGTGTGACGAGAAACAATGCATGTCACAAAGCCGCAGGAAAACACTCTGGGTTGCTGGCGCACAGGTCCAGTTGTAAGCGAAACCATAGCGACAAGCCTGCAAAGCCAATTTCGTTAGTTTTTCTCCAAGTAGTGTGCCCACACGGGGCCCACACTAGAATATTTACAGTAGCTGTTGAGGCCGGGTTTCTGATCAAGGTGCTCGCGTCCGTGTCCAGCTATCTCGCTGCTATTTACAATGCATGCATTCACCTCGAGATCTTCCAAATGAATTTCGCCAGCGCAGGCTCGCAGAATCTGGTGGGCTGGCGCGGGTACCGGCGGGTGCTCTTCGAGACTGCGCTCTCGTTCCGGTGCCATGCGCACTCTCGGGCGTGGTGGTTACTTTTCGTGGACCTCGCGCTTTGGTGGTCCAAAGTTGGCTTTTCGTCGATGTACAGATTTCGTGCAGGCGCAGCACTTTGGACATGGTGGTGGTGTTTGGCGTGCTCACCGTCGTGACTTTTGGACACGTGGCTTGTTTTCAGAAATTGGATCAACCTCGAGCGGAACCTGCGTTTTGGCGTCTTGCATGATGTTGTCTTTGGAAGCGCTCTTGCTGCGAATCGCCTTGGCAGGACTGCACGATGTGAATCTTGATGTGAAAATGCAAAGTCAGATTTTGTGGCGGGCGCAGCACTTTGATGCACTTTGTGAACCTAGCGCAGGTTTTGTGAGACTTTGTGGACCTTGTGGTGCAGATTTCGTGGGGCGGTAGTTTGTGGACCTTGAAGGGCAGATTTTTTGGCAGGCGCAGCACTTTGTGGATCAGATTTCGTGCCACTCAAGGTGAAGAAGAAGACGCTCGACTTCATCAACATGTCGGCCCCCCACACCAAGGAGCAGGCGCAATAAGGACCTTGAAGTGCAGATTTTGTGGCTCTCATGTGCGCGTGTTTTTACATGTCCTTTCGTGTCCTTTAGTGTGTGGGCATGGCCATACCAAAGAGTCGACAGGCAGGTGGAACTTGACTTTAATACTTTAATTAATGGTTTTCACACATGTTTTTGTAATCATGTTTTTTTCCACTTGGTGGGTTCTGGTGAGTTGAAACTGCGCGCCAGCTGGCCACTTTTGCAACCCCGCTTGTTTGCTGGAAGTGGACATGGTCACAAACCGAGAGGCTCAATGCTAAGCAGGTTGACTGGTTGACTTTATCACATCAACACTTTAAGATCTTAAAGCGCCTTCCGGGCCCAATTGTCTCTTTTTGAAACGGTGCCGTGGGCCATCACTCATGTGGTTGGGTGTGGAAAATCGTTTCTTTTGGGGCGCATGTTGCTAATGGCTGGTTTCGGGTCTCAGGGCACAGGAAGCAGCAGTCCAAAAACCAAGGAAAGTGAGTAGCTGCTTCATCGGCTGTCCCGTTGCCCTCGAAAAGACTTGAGCCAGCAAGAAGTTGCAGCCTTGTCTTGTCCATTGGGCCAATTGGCCTATTGGGAAGGGGTGGTCCTTTAAAGCGAGTCCACTCAAAGAGGGAGCAATGCAAAGAGCGAATACAAAATAGCGGAAGCGTCGGAAGCGACTCATCTCAGAACCCATGCAACGCCAGCGTCCTTTGTTTGTCTTTTTCTTCTTCTGTTTTTTCCTGCTCTGTGTTTTTTCTTTCTCCGGCTTGCTTATTAAAAGTGTCTTTCTCTTTGTCTGTTTCCTTTTCTCTTTTTGCTGCTGCTTCGCTCTGTCTTCTCCGTGTCTTCTTCTTGTTACTATTGTTATTGATATTGTTTGTTTTCATGGATCACCTCTGAGGGATGGGCCCTCCTCCAACCACTCAACAACCAAACCATGTCTTGGATCATGCACCCAGCTTTTGATCCATACCCTACGGGTCGAGGTATGGATCATGTGTGTAGGCCTGGGTGTGCGGTCCAAGCCTCACGTTTCTGGCCACAACCATATGTGCTCTCCAGACTCAGGCCTCCACCCCTAGATCTCTAGACAGCTCTCTCCATCACCACTACCATCATTCGCCTCTCTCTGGAACCCAATGCGTCTATAGATCTCTTAGAACTTCTGCTTCTATACCTCCAGACCGTAGACCTTTAGACACACTGTTTGGGGTCTCTTGCCGGGATAATTGTTGCCCTTGCTAGGTTGCTGCTCATGGGGCTGTGACATTTATGTATAGTACATACTATATAATACTGTATCATGGTTCCTCCTATGCATTCTGCGGTCAATGTCTTCGCACGCAAAACCTTCCACGTTGGGGCCCCCATAGAAGGTACACGCAACGGATGGCTCAACGCATTCTTCCAAAACCACAAATGGTTCAAGGTCTTCGTCTGCAAACAACATCCACAAAGACTCAGCCAGGGGACCATAAGCAACACACCGCCAAGCTGGTAAGAGCTTAGCCAAGCGTTTTGACTGGAATGGTGAAGACAAAGAACAATGATCAAAGCAAACAACTGGGACAACCTGCGATAGAAATTTAGCAGCCAAGCCAACCGAAGCCAAAGCCCCCAAAGCCCCCAAAGCCACAAAAGCCAAAAGTAGCAGAGCAATAAAGAAGACAAATTCAAAAAACAACGATTGCAACAAAAAAGCAATTGACGTCAGAAAAGCCACACAAACCAAAAGTCACACAAGCCACACAATTTGATAAAAAGGAAAACAAGCGGAACAATACGCCCCCAAAAAAAATAAGGAGAAAAGGCGAATTGGTTCAACGTTCTGTGCATCAAGCCCCTACAATCCTTGGAGAAACACTTGAGAGATTAAAAGCTGACTATGTAAATCTTGTTCAATCGCAAAGAATGGCTCTGTTTTTCTGCTTTTATCTGCATTCAAGGTCTAGTGGCCCACGGAGCCATTGCCTTGCATGGTGAAATCACCCGACAACACTGACCGCTTTCCAAGAGTTACAGTTAAACCAAAACTGCACGTTAGTTATGAGGAAAAGCAAAATATGAAGGAAAACACATTCTGCATGCACAAAAAAATCAAACATTGTGCTTACTGTCCCAGGCGCGGATGTAAGGATGATCATATTGTTTTGGGTAAGGCCATCTCGAATACTTGTAGTCAATTTCCTTTGCCGTAGGTTTACCCCAAAACAGCATGCTGCCGTTCACAAGCAGCGAGAACTTCTGAAAAAAGTATTCTGTAATGTCCAAATCACTTCCAGGCCGTATCCAGCTTGTATCATCTGGTCGTAAATGTCCGCTGACATCATGTGCAAGCCCTTCTGTCATGCAAAGCTCCACAAAGTTGTGCTTAGGGCAAACATCCCAAGCTTTGCAAGATGTTGTGGCAGATCTCGCGAATGTGATGGCAGCGCCGTCTGGTCCTGCACCAGAACAGCGATTCATCTTAGACAAGCTAGATGCTGTGATCTCCAACGTATCTTGGCAGTGTGCAATCGTATCCTGGCTTCCGCACATGCCTATGTAAGAGATTGGTCTTGAAATCTGGCAGCCTATTGGGAGAACATTGCCAGAAACAGGGGCAAAGCCCCGGATGAGGTGGCTGGCATGACATGCCAAATAGTTGACAAACATGCCGCCCATGCTGAAACCGGCTGCAAAGACCTTGTCAGGATCAGCACAGGAATTTTGAACCGCCCACTTTAGTATGGCCTCGACAAACTTCGTGTCACGTTCAGGATCTCTCCAGCCACACGCTGTTGAATCCTTTTTGTTCAAGGCTTGGGCTTTCGTGCAGCACTCGCCCTGGCACTCTGATGAACAGCAGGCACCTTCTCCACTCAAGCCATTCGTTCCAGTCTCGTTGAGGCCAAAGGGGAGAATTCCCAACCAGCCGTATCGATCAATATGTTGATTGAAGTCCATCAGCAGGTTGGAGTACCACGGTGAATCTCCAAAACCATGAAACACTAACACCAAGGGTATGCCAGAAGCTTGCACTGGTGTGTACTCCTGTGGCACAACCAAAAGAAATTGCCTCTGCACTTCTGGCAATTTGACAACGTGTTTCCCAGGCGGATGCCGAGAGCATTCTGGTGCTCCGCTTGCGTCATGAACCTGTAAGGCAAATGACAAACCTGGCAGGAGAAGTAGCCGCCACATGGGATTGTATGGCGGCTTGGCTTATGTTCAATATCGAGCTTTGAGCTGAAAATGTCAGCAAATGACACCGCTACTGACACTGCTCAACGAAAGCTGCAGGCAAACCATGTCATTCATGAATATTTGCGAATGCCGCAAAATGCTATAGGTGAAGCAATCATACGCAAACTACTAATGTTGCACCCTTCACCGATGCTGTGGCAACCGCACTCTGTTTTCAACAGACAAAAACACCAACGACCAAAGGCCAGAAATTTTGTCGACATGATGAACTCATTTCTCGAGTCTGGCACGCGAAGTGGCCTGAAAGTCCACCACAAAGATTTGATTCTGGTTCCCTCAGTGTCACAACAAATAAAAATTAAACATCTTATCTTGTGGATATTACAGACCCCATAGCTGACTGGCAAATGGCCCCAAATGGTGGTTTTGATGGGCTTTGTATAGATTGTGTTCGTCCTGATGTCCCATGAGCGACTGAAACAAACAGTGTTTGTGCATTTGTAATCTGTCACTT